TGGTAAGGGTGGCACTGGATGGGCTTTAAGGTCCCTCCCAAGCCACAGCAGCCCAGAACTCTCTAGAAGCAGTCAGCTGTCCCTGTGTGCCCACCCTGGGAGTAGGCATCGTGCACCCAGCTGGCTCCCACGTTGGGCGCTCCATCGTTCAGCACCACGTCCACCTTCCACGTCTGCAGCTCCTTGCGCAGGGCCTGTGGGACAGGGACACCTGTTTGTCCCTCAGAAGGGCCTCAGCCCACCCCCTGTGACCCTCCTGCCACCACAGGGACCTGCAGGGCCCCAGGTGACCCCGGGCAGTACCTGGCGGCACTTCTCAGTGGTGATGTCCTCCTGCAGGGTCACCACGTTGGGAATGGGCTTGATGGGCACCAGATCCACCCCTGGGTGAGGAAACACAGCAGAGCCCCTCAGAAGGGGCTCTAGACCATCCCAAGGGGTTTCCCCACCCAGCCCCACTCCTGCCAGGATCCCCTCTGTCAGTCACAGCCAGGGACTGTCCCCAAAACTCACCAATGATCAAGCTGGACACCGGCATGAACTTGGAAGCCACCTGGAGCCTGGCAAGAACAGAGGGGAGCAGAGCTGAGGGCCCCAGCAGAGCTCCCGGCCTGGCACAGGATCCCATAGTTGGGCAAGGAGCACAGGGACACTGCCAGACCAGCTGGTGGCACTGTGGTGGTGAGACGCAAACTTAAAAGAATTTAGGGATCTTAGAGGAGCTGAGGTATTAGTTAGAAATAAGCTTTATTGGAGTTAATTAAAATAAATGGGCAGGCCTTGATGAAGTAAAAAGTTAGGAGTTAACTAATAATTGATTGCTTGTCAATACAATGTTTCATTAGCTGGGTTTATAACGAGGAATGCAGAAACTGATAAATAGCTTCTAGGAACATAAAACAATTGTTTGTAGGAACACAAGCCAATTGCAGCCTCTCTGTTCTGAAAACAATTGAAGATGGGGAATGGGAGTTCTACCAATGGGCTCATTTGTCACATCTGCATTGAAAAGGCAGAAAGGTCAGAACNGGCTGCTGGTAGAACTCGGCCCGCCGCTCCTCCTCGGGGTTCCCGATCACATCCGTGATGATCTGACCCGAACGGGACGGGGCAGCGGGAGTGAGGGACCCAGAGGGATCCGTGAGGGACACAGAGCCCTCCCCGAGCTCCAGGATGGAGCCAAACCTTCCCCTGAGGTCCACAAGGGACCCAGAGCCTTCCCTGAGCTCCAGGAGGGATCCATGAGGGACCCATGGATCCCTGAACACCAGGATAGACCCAGACCTTTCCCTGAGCTCCAAGATGGACACAAACCCCTCCTTGAGCTCCATGAGGGATCCATGAGGGACCCAGACCCCTTCCCTGAGCTCCAGGATGGACCCAGACCTTTTCCTGAGCTCCAGGATGGACCCAGACTCTTCCCTGAGCTACAGGATAAACCCAGACCCCTCCCTGAGCTCCATGAGGAACCCAGATCCCTCCCAGCCCCCCATTCTGCCCAGCCCCAAGGCTTCAGAATTATGGAATTGTTAGGGTTGGAAAAAACCTTCCACTCTTAGCCCAACACCACTTCCACCACGTTCACCAGTGCCCCATGTCCCCAAGGGCCACATCCATGGTTCTGAACCCCTCCAAGCACGGAGACTCCACCACTGCCCTTGGCTGGACAACCCCTTCCAGAAGACATTTCTCCCAATATCCAACCTAAACTCCCCCAGAATTGTTCCCCTCTACCTTGAGGTCCCTCCTCTGGGATTTGATCCACTCCTGGATGAAATCCTGGGGGTTGTTGCTGAAGCTCAGCATGAAATCCCTCTGTGTCTTCAGCTGGTTGATGGACTCGATGGTCTCGTGGATCTGGAGAGGTGACAGGGGTCAGAGGAGCTGTGTCCCCCCCAGGACACAGCTGTCCCCTGGCAGTGTCCCCTCCCACCTTGGCATCCAGGGAGGCGATTTCCTGCTGGTTGGTGGTGGAGGCCAGGAAATTGCTCATCTGGGCCTTGAGGGGATCGTCCACCTCCACGTCGATGTCGTAGCAGGCTGTCTTCTTCTGGTCATTGGGGTCCACGCTGGGGGAATGGGGTTGGGGGGTCCTGCTGAGCTGGGGGTGCATGGACCCCCAACAGCAACACCAGTGCCCCAGGAAGACACAAATTTGGTGGTTCTTCACATCCCAGGGGACTTGTGCTGGTCCTTCAGGCTGGAGAGCTCAAAGCCTCCTGTGCCCTCAGCTTATGGAGCCCCCCAGCCCTGGGGACANCGGGATCAGAATCAGGATCGGGATGGGATCGAGATTGAGACCGGGAGCGGGATTGAGACCGGGGGACTCTCAGGGGAACGGGAGCTGAGGCTGCTGTGGGCACCTGGGGGACGCAGGACTCGGCTCGGGGGTGTCGGGCAGGGATGAGGGGAGGGAAGGGACACTCGGGACAGGGAACTGGGAACTGGGTAAAAGATGGGAGGGGGGAAAAGAGGAGCCAGGAGCCGGCCCGGCGGTAGTGATGGGGGAACCGGGGCCCGGCGCGGCTGCCCCGAGCTCGGCGGCGCTGAGCTCTGCTGTCCCAGATGGAGATGGACGACGGGAAGGGCGGCTCGGGGCTCCGGCAGTATTACCTGTCCAAGATCGAGGAGCTGCAGGTGAGCACAGCTGCGGGGGGCATTGGGATGGGTGGTGTGTCCGTGTCCCTGTCCGTGTGCCAGGGCTTTGGGCAGGCAGGACCCTCCCTGGGGGCTGTGGGGTCACGAGCTGGGGCTGTGCTTTGAGCTGGGTGTGCTCCTGTCCCTGTCCCAGCTGCCAGAGAGCAGGGCTGGATGGGATACTGGGAATTAGGAATTGTTCTCTGGGAGGGTGGGCAGGCCCTGGCACAGCTGGGGCTTCCCCTGGATGCCTGGTAGTGCCCAAGGCCAGGTTGGACAGGGTTGGAGCAGCCTGGGATAGTGGAAGGTGTCCCTGCCATGGCAGGGCTGGGATGCAATGAGCTTTGAGATCTTTTCCAACCCAAACCACTCCACATTTCCCTGTGCTGGGTGTGCCTGAGCCCGAGGTTGCTCAGCAGAGCCTTTCCCTGCAGCTCATAGTGAACGAGAAGAGCCAGAACCTGCGGCGGCTGCAGGCACAGAGGAACGAACTCAACGCCAAGGGTAGGGGCTGCAGCTCCTCCTGCTGCCCTGGGCTGGGGCTTTGGGGATTCTGGGCTGGGTCTAGGTGCTCTGAGCTGGGTTTTGTGGGTTCTGGACTGGGCTTTGGAGGCTCTAGGCTGGGCCCGAGGGGTTCTGGGCTGGGCCGAGGGCCTTTGGGAGGCTCTGGGCTGGGCTTTGGGGGCTCTAGGCAGGGCCTGAGGGGCTCTGGGCTGGGCTTTGGAGGATTCTGGGCTGGGCCTTGAGGGGCTCTAGGTTGGGCTTTGGGGGGGGCCCTAGGCTGGGCTTTGGAGGATTCTGGGCTGGGCTTGGGGGGCTCTGGGCTGGGTCTGAGGGGTTATGGACTCGACTTTGGGGGCTTTGGACTGGGCCTGGGATCTTCAGGCTGGTCCTGAGGGGCTCTGGGCTGGGTCTGAGGGGCTCTGGACTGGGCCTCGGTGCTCTGGTTTGGGGGCTCTGGGCTGGGCTTTGGGGCCTCCAGGCTGGGCCTGGTGGTTCTGGAGCTGAGCTGTCCCTCTGCAGTGCGGCTGCTGCGGGAGGAGCTGCAGCTGCTGCAGGAGCAGGGATCCTACGTGGGAGAGGTGGTGAGAGCCATGGACAAGAAGAAGGTGCTGGTCAAGGTATGAGGGGACAGAGCTGGGCTGGGGGACAGCCCCGTGTCCCCAGGGGTGGGACAGCTTGGGGACATGGGGTGGGAGCTCCTGGTGCAGAGGAGCTCATTGGGATGGCTCTGCTGGGCCTGGGGCTGCCCCAGTGGCCTTGGAGCTCCCGGTTCCTCCCAGGCATCCCCATGTCCCTCAGCAGGGAATTCCTAGGGAAATGACACCTGGGGCTCTTTCCTCCTTTACAGGTGCACCCAGAGGGGAAGTTTGTGGTGGATGTGGACAAGAACATTGACATCAATGATGTGAGTGCTGGGGGGCCAGCAGGGACACTCCAGGCTCTGGCAGGGACACCCCAGGGCCAGCAGGGACACTCCCCTGTGTGATGTCCCCACAGGTGACCCCCAACTGCCGCGTGGCCCTCCGCAACGACAGCTACACCTTGCACAAGATCCTGCCCAACAAGGTGGACCCGCTGGTGTCCCTCATGATGGTGGAGAAGGTCCCAGACTCCACCTACGAGATGATTGGGGGCCTGGACAAGCAGATCAAGGAGATCAAGGAGGTCATCGAGCTGCCCGTGAAGCACCCGGAGCTCTTTGAGGCTCTGGGCATCGCCCAGCCCAAGGCAAGTGCTGCACTGGGGGCCCTGGGCTGGGNGGGAAGCTGCTGGGGCTGAGGCTGCTCCATCACTCCTGCCCCACAAGTGGGACTCACCTTCCCAAACCACAGGCTGGTCTGTCGCTCCTCCAGCACCGACTTCTCCTCCAGGGGCACCAGCAGAGGATTCTCCACTTCCTGCCCTTCCTCCTCCTCCTCCTTCTGCTTAAACTTGGTCCTGTGACCCGGAGCAGCAGGATCAGTGTCCCCAGCCCTGGCTGGCTCCTGGAGCTGTCCCAGAGCAGCCCCAGCCCCAGGAGGTGTTTCCCCTCTCACCTCTTCCCTCGCTGCTCCCGCTGCAGCTTCCGCTGCCGGGCCTCGATCTCCAGCAGCTCCTCGGGGTCCAGGTCGCTGGCCAGGGACACATCATCATCCTCTTCCTCGTGATCAGACACGTAAATGTCATCGTCCCCAGGGCTGATCTCCAGCAGGGCGTCAGCAGAGGCCATGTCCCCCCGGGACAGCTCATTCAGCAGCTGCAGCACAGCTCAGAGTCACTCAAATGACAGGGCAGGTCCTACCTCACCCCGCTGTCCCCAGGAGCTCCCACCCACCGGGGTCCTGTGGATGCTCTTCAGGGAGAACATGCTGGTGTCACCATCGTCAGCGATGGACACTCCAGGCAGGTCCATCTTCAGCTCCACACGTTCCCGCTGCTTCCTCTGCTCCTTCAGGATCTTCTTCTTCTTCCTGCAGGAGGCAAAGGAATGAGGCCAACTGTCCCCACCACACACAAACACCCCACTGCCAGCACCCTGTGAGGGGTGCCCAGTGCTGGGACAGCCTGGAACACCTGCCTGGAGGAGCAGAGGAGCCCAAGGACCCCAAACTCACAAACCCCCCCAGCAAAGGGACAGGCTGACACTACCACCTTCTGTCTCCATGGCTACAGCTCCATCCCTCCTCCTCTTTGTACCTCTTCAGCTCTGCCAGCTCCTTGGCCTTCATCTCTGCCAAAGCCAGCTCCACCTCCTCTTGCTCCTTCTCCTCCTCAGCAGCTGCAGCTTTGGCCTCCATCTTCTCCTTCTTCTCCTCCTCCCTGCCCTCCTCCTCCTCACCGGAGCTCAGGCTGCCAAAAGGAAGGAGCTCAGAGGAGCTGTGCTGGGGACAGGCCACCCCAGCCTGGGGACAGGCCACCCCAGCCTGGGGACAGCCCTGCTCCCTGGACCTACTTGATATCCATCTCCTTGGCCTGCTCCTTCAGCTTCTTGGCCAGGAACCGCCGCAGCTTCGTCCTCCAGTTCAGCAGAGCCCTGGGTGGGGTGGCAGCTGTTAGGGACAGGCAGCAGGGCCAGCAGGGGGGTGTGGCTGTCCCCCAGGCCCAGGTGGGGGCTGTGGCTGTCCCAGTGTCCCCCAGCACCTGAGCTCCTTGCGGCCCAGCACTCGGATGTCCCTGCAGCACTGGCGCAGCTCCTCCGTGGTGGAGCTGTGATTCTCCAGCTCCCCATCCCCCAGGGTGATCTGGCACAGGAAAAGGGATTGAAATTGCAATCCCAGCCTCCCCTCCACAGCACAGGGACAGGAGTCCTTGTAGGCACTCACCTCATTGGCCTTGGAGAGGAAGTCCACGGGGTTGGCAGCCTTGAGGAAGTCCATGAGGGTGAAGCGATGGTACAGGGTGGTGTCACCCTCGGCATAGCCCTCGGCCTGGGGGGAAAAGGGGCTGTGGCAGCCAGGGCAGGGGACAGACAGACAGACAGACAGACAGCACCAGCCCTGAACGGTGCATGGAGTCACCTAACTCGTGTCTTGCTGCAGCGGCCACCTAAATGTGCCTGTGGGTTGTTCTCGAGGACTTTAGAAATCGTTTCCAGACTCAGCCTGAGCTAGAAGAAGTCACCAGCCCCAGCCCAGACACAAGAGCTGACAATGGCAGGTTTGTGCCAGCTTTACACTCCGTTAAAACTGCCTAACACAGATTTACTGTCCTAAAGCCACCTCAGAGAGACACAAACCCTGTACTCAATTACTGTAGGGTTTAACTGACCCAGCCCCAGCCTCACAGTCCCCACTTCAGGGCTCCAAACCTTCCCCAAACTGGCTTTTCCAACACTTCCTGTTGCAAAATCTTGCATTCTCCTGAGCAATTTTAATTCTCACACCCTCTTTAGGCCCAGTCCCCTCTGTGTCTGGCCTTGCTCATACCTTGGGCTTCTTTTTGCTGACCAGCTCACTGACAGACTTGGTGACAACCTCCACGTCCTTGAAGGCGTATTTGGGGTCAAAAAACTTGCTGTCAATTTTGTCTGGAGCCTGATAACCTGGGATGGAGGGATGAGAGCCATGAGAGACGTTGCTCTGGGATAGAGGGATCAGAAACAGCCAGAATGGAGGGATCAGAGCCACCCAGAATGAAGGGATCAGAGCCATTCCTGCTGGGATGGAGAAATCAGAGCCACCCCTGCTGGGATGGAGGGATCAGAGCTACTTCTCTGAGGAGAGANCAGCCCCAGTCCTGCAGACCCTCCCCATCCCATGCAGCCCCTTCAGCCCCCTCCAGTGCCCACCCAGTGCCCAGCCCAGGCTGTGCCCCCACCTGATGGTGTGGTTGATGATGATGGGGTCAGGGTGCTGCAGGAGCCCTGCCAGCTTCATGGGGATCTCAGAGAAGCGCATGCGGACGCAGTTGAAGATCTGGGGGGCAAAGCAGAGCCTTGGGCACCCATGGCAGGGGCTCCCCTCACCTGTGCCCAGGGCAGGGGCACAGCCAGAGCCTGGAGGGGCTGTGGGGGCTGTGAGAGGCTTCTCCCAGCTGGATGAGGGGGGAATGTGCAGGTACCTGGCGGAAGTAGCGGTTGCAGTTGATGAACTCCTTCTCGTGGCTGTCCTGCAGTTTGTTGTGTTTGATGTAGAGCCACAGGGCCTGCATGATGCTGGCCCTGGTCTGGGTGTGCACCCCCAGCAGCCGGGCCAGCCGTGGGTCCAGCTTGTACTGGGGGGGCTGTGGGGACAGCAGGGTCAGCCAGGATGGAAAAACCCCAAAGAGCAGAGCCCAGCCTGAGCCAGCCCATCCTGTCCCCAGCCAGAGCACTGAGTGTCCTGGGACAGCTCAAGGGATGGGTCACTCTCTGGGCAGCTGGTCCCAATTTTTAACTCCCTTTCCACGGAGGAACTCCTGCTGCTGCCCAAAGAAAAGGCACTTGGGAGTGCACCACAGCCCCTGTGGCTCCATGCTGGGAGCTCCCTGTGCTCCTTTTGATCCCTGCACCCCAAACTCTCATCCAAGGTCCTGTCCCAGATTTTAACTCCCTTTCCATGGAGAAATTCCTGCTGCTTCTGCAGCTGGAATTTCCTGTTGCCCAAAGGATAGGCCCTCAGGAGTGTCCCTCACAGCCCCTGTGTCACTATGGGTCCATTCTGGGAGCTCCCTGTGCTCTTTTCAATCCCTGCATGTCCCAACCCTCATCCAAGGCCCTGTCCCAGTTTTTAACTCCCTTTCCATGGAGAAATTCCTCCTGTTGACCAAAGAAGAGGCACTCAGGAGTCCCCCACAGCCCCTGTGTCACTGCACCTCCATGCCTGGAGCTCCCTGAGCTCCTTTCAATCCCTGCACCCCAAACCCTCACCCAAGGCCCTGTCCCAGCCCATCCCCACCCCTGGGTGCCCCCCAGGCCGTACCTGGTGGTCCAACATGAGCAGCAGGGTGCACTTCACATTGACATCCCCGGGGCGCTTCACCTGGAAGCCGTCGGTCTCCTGGGTCGTGGGCATCCGGTGCCACTGCCAGGGATAAAGGGACACAGCTCAGGCAGGGCCATGGAACAACCCTGCCAGCTGGGCTGGGGCTCTGGGCAGGGCTGGCACAGCCTGGGGCACCCCTGGCAGCTCTCCCAGTCCCTCCCAGCCAGGCTGTGCCCCAGCACGGGGATGGAACTGGGGCAGTTCCAGCACTGGGGATGGGCTGGGGCAGTTCCAGCACTGGGATGGACTGGGGCAGTTCCAGCACTGGGATGGACTGGGGCAGTTCCAGCACTGGGATGGAACTGGGGCAGTTCCAGCACTGGGATGGACTGGGGCAGCTCCAGCACTGGGGCATTTCCAGCACTGGGATGGAACTGGGGCAGTTACAGCACTGGGATGGAACTGGGGTAGTTCCAGCACTGGGATGGGCTGGGGCAGCCCCAGCCCTGAGTGCTCAGAGTGCAGGGCTCCCACAGCTTCTGGATCAAGCCTGGAAGGGGATTCAGCCTCTCCACAGCATCTCCCAGAGCAAAAGAAAGAGCTGGGTGCAGGGCGAGCTCCAGGCAGGAGCACCCAAAGGAGCTCTGATCCCTCTCCCAGGCATGGACTAAACCTCCCCAGCTCAGGGACAGGCAGGAGGGCAAACCCTCCTTCCCACAGGGCCCTGGGGTGAGGTTCTGTGGGATCAGCACCCTGTGGGGACCCAGCTGTGCCAGCCTGGGGGACAGCTGCCCCTAGGGTCACATCCCTGTCCCCACACAGCTCCAGCTCTAGCTCAGACCTGGGCTGGGAGGGGGCACAGCTGAGTTTTGCCAGGGACAAAGGGCATGCCTAAAGCTGAGCTGGGAATGCAGCAGAGCCTGGTCCCCGTGGAGGGCTTGGCACTGCCCCAGCCCCAAAAACCTCCTCAGGCCCCTCTCCCAGCAGGACAGGCCCTGGGCTGAGAGCTGAGCACCCAGAGGGGCAGCACAGGGCCCCATTTCCCACTCCCAGCTCACCTCCACCAGGTGATTGTCCGGCCCGTAGAGCTCCTTGTCCAGCTCGATCACGAGGCTCTTGAAGAAGGAGGAGAACTTCCTCTTCTGCTTGCTGGGCTGCAGACAGGGCAGAGAGATTCCTGATCCCAAATCCAGCTCCGAAGTGGGGCAGGTGCTGCCCCAGCTGAGCTCTCAGCACAGCACCAGGGCTCCCAGCACCTCCTCNGGCAGGCTCTGAGGGGCTCTGTGCCCGTTTCAGGGGGTGCTGCTCTACGGCCCCCCCGGCACGGGGAAGACGCTGCTGGCACGGGCTGTGGCCCATCACACCGACTGCACCTTCATCCGTGTGTCCGGCTCCGAGCTCGTGCAGAAGTTCATCGGTGAAGGTACTGTCCCTGTTCCTCTGTGAGACTGTCAGGGATGGCACTGTGTCCCTGTCCCTCTGTGAGACTGTCAGGGATGGCACTGTGTCCCTGTAACTCTGTGAGCCCCTCAGGGATGGCACTGAGTCTGTGTTCTTCTGTGGGCCACTCAGGGGTGGCACTGTGTCTGTGTCCCTCTGTGAGACTGTCAGGGATGGCACTGTGTCCCTGTAACTCGGTGAGCGCCTCAGGGATGGCACCGCGCCTCAGGGATGGCACCGTGTCTGTGTCCCTCTGGGAGCCTCTCAGGGACCCTTGACCAGCCCCAACTCCAGACACCAGGGGGCAGACCCGACTCCCCTCTCTTGTGCCCCAGGGGTACTGAGGGCAGCCAGGCTGGTCACCTTTGCAGCAGAACAAGACACCAGAGACATCGGTAGAAGATAAAGGGCCAACTCTTAGCAGGGGTTAATCCAAGCTTTTATTCTGGGAGTCCCAAAGGAGCCCCTACGCCTCAGGGGGTTCTGCTGAGAGCCTGGAGATGTGCCAAGGTTACATTTAAAGGGAGGTGGAAACCCAGAATAGAGAACATTTACTGACCAATAAGTGACCCTGAGGGATGGGTACTGGGGAATGGACATTTAGGACAGCGTTAATTCTGCTATTTAAATATAGGTTAGCCTGTTAATGGGGAGGGAGTCATAAAGTTCTTAGATTTTTGTTGTGTAGAGCTTTAACACACTCTTTGTAAGGCTTGAGGGGCTGAGCCCTGGCTTCTGACTGATCACTCGAGGACCTGGACAGAAGCTTCTAGATGGAGGGCATGGGATGTTGAGTGATTGTCAGAGAGCCAGGGTGGGGGTTTGGGGGTGATCTCATCCAGGGAGAGGGATTACAGAGGTAAAGGGAGGGGGGTACAGTCTGGGATAAACAATTTGGGAAAAATACGGGGATGCAAAACAAAACTACTTCGAAGTATTACAAAGAATAAAACCAAACTACAGCATTACCTGGGTGGCTGTGGGGCTCCTGGGGCAGCGTGGGCTCGGTGCCAGCTGTGCCAGGCTGAGCCCGTGCCCGCAGGGGCCCGCATGGTGCGGGAGCTGTTTGTGATGGCGCGGGAGCACGCGCCCTCCATCATCTTCATGGACGAGATCGACTCCATCGGCTCCTCCCGCCTGGAGGGCGGCTCCGGTGGTGACAGCGAGGTGCAGCGCACCATGCTCGAGCTCCTCAACCAGCTCGATGGCTTCGAGGCCACCAAGAACATCAAGGTAGAGGGGCTGGCCCTGTGTGGGGTTGTGCCTGCCAGCCCTGTGGTGCCCGGGGTGGTGACAGCTGTCCCCCTGTCCCCTGTGCAGGTGATCATGGCCACCAACAGGATCGACATCCTGGACTCGGCCCTGCTGCGCCCCGGCCGCATCGACAGGAAAATCGAATTCCCCCCTCCCAACGAGGAGGTACCAGAGCCACCCCCTGCTGTCCCCACCCTGTCCCTGGGAGCCATTCCCGGGCTCCAACCCTCCCTGTGCCCTGCTCCAGGCCCGCCTGGACATCCTCAAGATCCACTCGCGGAAGATGAACCTGACCCGGGGCATCAACCTGCGCAAAATCGCGGAGCTGATGCCGGGGGCCTCGGGGGCTGAGGTGAAGGTGAGCCGGGGACTCTGGGGACTTGGGGCTGCCACGGGGGGCACTGGCTGATGCTCCCTTCTGTCCCCTCAGGGTGTGTGCACAGAGGCTGGGATGTACGCACTGAGGGAGAGGAGAGTGCACGTCACACAGGAGGACTTTGAGATGGCCGTGGCCAAGGTGGGTGCCAGGGGAGAGGTGACACTGGGGGCACAAAGGGTCCTGTCTGTTTGCCAGGGGCACAGACAAGGGGGTTGTCACCACAGGAGTGACATGGGAGAGGCTGCTGAACCCTCCCTGTGGTCTTGGGATGTTTTTGGGATAATTGAAACCCAATTTGGGCACCGAATGGACCCACCCCCATTTCCTCCCCCCAGGTGATGCAGAAGGACAGTGAGAAGAACATGTCCATCAAGAAGCTGTGGAAGTAACAGTGAGGCTGGAGCTGCTCCCTCTGTGCTGTCAATAAAGAGCTGCTGTGGCCAGGTCTGGGTGCTGAGTTGAGGACTGATTTGGGAACGGGGTGGGGGCTGCAGGACACAGCACACACCCCACAGAGCTGCTGCTAACTGCTTTTATTAGAAAAGATCCAAAATAGACAAAAACTGGTTACACAAGAGGCAGAGCAGGAACCCCTGAGCCCAACCCTGGGAATCTGTAAACGCCCCCCCACCCAGAGCCTGCAGGGGGGCAAAGGCACTTGAGTGGGGTGGCAGTGGTGGCACTGCCCCCTGGTCCCCTCCCTCCACCCAGTATCTCCAGTTCTTGGTGCCCCTGTGCCCCCACAGGCTCCTGGGGCAGAGCCAGCCCCTCTGCCCCCAAACCTCGTCAAGTCAAGTGGTTAATTATGGAATTCTGTAGAACAGCGGGAGGGGGGGGAGGAATAAACTGATTGTCACAAAATGAGCCCCAGCCCTCGGTTCCATATCCCCAGAGCAGCCCTGGGAGCCTCGCTGAGCCCCTGCAGAGCCCAGTGCAGGAAGAGGAACTCAATCAATATATTAATTAATTCATCAAATACAAACCCACTGTACAAAACGCTGCCTTTTTTTTCTTTTTTCGTGTTTTTTTTTTTGCTTTTTATATAAAACCTGTTCACAAAAATAGTGCAAAACGTCGGGGTGGGGGAGCTGGCGTTTGGAATGACGAACTTTGGTTGGTAGAAGAGGGGCAGGGCAGGGCCTGTGGGG